GTATCATTGAAAACTTCATCGAAATCGTACAAAACTGCATCGTTTCGACCGACGGATAACGCTGCGATGATGTGATGCGCCGGCACCTCGCCGTTTTGCGCCAGGTGGTGCACGAAAAGCGCGCGTGCTGCGCCGGGCAGCGACGACGGGGTTCGTGAGCGCAAAAAATCCTGCTGGCGGCCTTCCGCGGCGAGACTGTCGATCACTGCGACTGCGGGGCGCGCCCCCACTCGATTTTTGCATCCCCGGGTTCATATGCCGTGACAGCTGGCATGGGGCAACTCATCACCTCTCTACGGTCGCCCTGCGACTGAATTAGGTTCGAAACTCCCCCGCGCGCGCGACGACGACGACGACGGCGGCGGCGGCGGCGGCGGCGGCGGCGGCGGCGACGGCGACGACGACGACGACCGACCGACCGACCGACCGACCCAGAAAATAGGTGCCAGGAACTAGCCCGGGACCCAGGGGAAGTCACCCGAGGTCCCCCCGAGTACGCCCCAGTCGGTTTGGTTTAAATTTTACCACCCCAGACCCCAAAGCCCGAGTTCACTCTTTCCTCTAGGCCTTCTACGTCGGCGAGTCCCGACGCGCGTGGAGCTCCGAAGGTCGGCGGTCTCGAAAAGTCACTCCATGTCTACGCAGAGAGACCGAGCGCTGGGTCCCAAACCTAACGAGATAGTAAAACCCGGCACAGGGAGGCAGCCTAGTGGGGCTGCCCTGCCGTGCGAGTGGCGGTACACCGGCGTCTCTGTTATCCTCACGTCACCGCAGCTGCCGTATATATAAATATATACGCTGGCGGCCTTCTGCGGCGAGACTGTCGATCACTGCGACTGCGGGGCGCGCCCCCACTCGATTTTTGCATCCCCGGGTTCATATACCGTGATAGCATGGGGCAGCTCATCACCTCTCTACGGTCGCCCTGCGACTGAATTAGGTTCGAAACTCCCCCGCGCGCGCGACGACGACGACGACGGCGGCGGCGGCGGCGGCGGCGGCGGCGGCGACGGCGACGACGACGACCGACCGACCGACCGACCGACCGACCGACCGGCCCAGAAATTTGGTGCCAGGAACTCGCCCGGGACCTAGGGGAAGTCACCCGAGGTCCCCCTGAGTACGCCCGAGTAGGACTTAATCAAAGTTTACCACCCCGTACCCCGGAGCTCGAGGTCACTCCCTCTTCTATTATTGTGCGCCTGAGCGCACCCCAGGAAAATCTTCTCCTATCCAGCCGGCCCTATTCTTTGCCTGGGGGTCCTAGATTAGGCTAGTCCCCGAGCTGGGTGGAGCCCATGTTGAAGGCAACACCCAGCTCCTAATCCAACTATATCATTCTATATCTTGTATAATTCCTTAATATCACCTTTCGCGGGAATTCCTCGTTTCCTTCCGAGCTA